TTGATCATCTGATCACTCATGAAGATCCAAAAGGAATCGGGCTGGGTCATTATCTACCACTGATCTTCAAATCATTCACTCAGCTAGACAATGTTCCCCTTGCAAGTGAGCTGAAGATTAAGTTGGGAAAGCTGCGGTGTAGCAAATGTTACGGCACACTAATTCTCTTTGCTTCTCCTTTGTTACTGGACAATGGTACTTAAACACAGCTGTTGATGAACGACCAATTACTTTCCAGACTCTTACTCATATCATCGCCAAGCTGACTTTCCGTGCTAGTAACCATCATTATGTTTAGCCGATCATCTCTTATCAAAGTGGGCTGTCCGCACCATGGTTACTATCTCTTATCTCTTATCTCTTATCTCTTGTCTCTTATCGTCTACCAAGCGGGCTGTCCGCCTTCTATCTTGATACACATTTACAAGCTCCGCTTGAACTCTCGCTATATAGATACATAGTGTACCACATGTAGTTCTTCACTTTAATCTACTGGGTTCTACCTGGAACTAGTCCTTTAGCAAGGTCTCCAACCTTGCTATCTAAGAACCATTATTCTAAGGAAGTCGCCGATACTTGCCTTAGCCAGAAACCTCTGACCTCTCATTCGAGAGAAGAACCACGTCTGTCTCGCCGAATCTCAGTCCACTCGGACTAAGACAGCTCGACATACCCCAGTCGTAACAGCAAAGCAGCAAAGGTTCGCTTTCAAAACTTCAAAGACGATGACATGGTGCCCTTGTATGATATCAATTCAAAATGCTGGAATTGGGACTTCCCTTCATCAGGGATCACTCCAGCAGTGCATATGCAGATTTTCACAGATAGTAAGATACTGATAAAATCACATTGGTAGGGAGCCCAGGAGACAAATGAGTTTTCCTTTGGTCTTTATCTCAATGTCGTCTCAGAGGTCTTATCGATCGTGAATCCCAACCTCAAACAACTTACTCAAGCATCGCGCGTTTGGTACTCAGAATTTGCAACCCACGCAGTTCCAACTCAAGATATCCAACGGAAGCCTGACTTAGTTCTATCCGACCATGTCGTCCAGCTGGGCTGGAACAATTTCATGGTATGCGCTGAACTCACGTTTAGCGCTTACCAGCCTGCTGCACGTGTTGGCAGTTCCATGGACACCAAAGCTTACCTGTTGTTTCGTGGACAGCCATGGCGCCGTTTTGTACTGCTATTGTCTTTTGTAATCGATACCGTGACCTTCGCGTCCATCTGTACGACCGTTCTGGGGGGCTGGTGTCCCCTGTGTTCAACATCAACAACAATCCAGATATGTATTTGCAAATACTCGCTGGGATCGTGTTTGGAGGTCCCCAGTGTCTTGGTTATGATTGTACCGTTGTATTTTATGTCACCCCTTCCAAACCTGCCAGCACTTCCCGTCGCACTGCCACGCCACACCAGGCCATCATGCATGACATTTCCAAAGACATCAGCTCGCTTGCACCTGGTATCGCCGAAGAAAGTCACCCGTTCAGTAGCTCAAACGATTCTGTCGCTGCCAGTGGAGGCAGCAATTTTTCCGAAGAAGTGACACATTATGATCCTCCCACCGACACGTCACATGAGGGCACTCTGGTGGAATTTTTTGAAGATGGCCCGTTTCCTCTTTACACCCTGTTTGCCTTACTTCAGCCAGAAATTGTTCTGGAGCCAAACGAGGACATCCCAACAGCGCTCTTCCCCCCTCCCCCCTCCAACAAGGACCCCATCGGTAAAATTCACGTCAAGGAGAAGTTCTACAATATACTCCACACCTTGTTCTACAGTCGAGGTCTTACAGGCAGGGGAACTGTTTGTTATTTGGTCGAGTTGGGGGGTGAGGAATTCATTATCAAAGACCATTGGGTGCAAGGACAGGATGACACGGACATCCTGAATGAGGTGGAAATGCTGAAGTGGATGCAAGGTGTCCCTGGTGTCCCTCACCTCGAAGACTATTGGATTGTTGAGAGGGAGAAGGGAGTTCCAGATACAACAGGTGACTTTCGCTTCAGGCATATCCAGAGCACATCCCACGCATTTCGCGCCCATGTTCGCCTTGTTCTCAAACCATGTGCCCGTCCATTACATCAATTCTGAACTAAGAAAGAGCTGCTGACAGCCTTATGCGATATCATTTGCAGTAAGTATTCCTTGAATGCTCGAGCCAATCCCTTACTGATTGTTCTCCCCCTGTTACAGTAACATGGCACAAGTCCCCCGCCAGCAGAGAGCCCTCTGCCACCCGCACGGCTATAGACGACACCGGAGCCTCACCAGCTCTATAGACGATACCGGAGCATCACTGGCTCTGTGACGACAGATGATGACAGATGACGATGACGATAAGCGGCAACTGCCGGCTTAGATAAGCGGTCTGGACCGCACGTGACAATACATGACGACATAGGTCTAGAAGACCTATTAATGTTATCAAGATAGAAGGCAAGCCTCGCGCTGCCTCATGGACAGATAGAAGATAGAAGGCAAGCATCGTGTTGCCTTAGATAACGATAGAAGGATACCACGTGGATCCTATCTCTGATGGAAGTGTACCGCATGGACGCTATCTACGATAGAAGCCCGCCTCATGGACGCTATCTCTGACACATGTAGATAAGCAGATTAGAACCCAGCTTTAGGCTGAGCTTAGATACGACGAGTAGCCTTATATAAGGTCGAAGATTAAAGTAGACATTCCTTACTTTAATCTTACTAGGTTTACCCTTGAACTCCTTGTCCCGCTAAAGCTACCTGCTCGACATCGACTCGTACCTTCAGTGACGCCTCTCACTGTCTGTAAACCCTGCTATCATCTCAGCATAACCCCTCGTTAACCACCACGAGCTACATTTGAGTATGCAACCTTTGCTTGTCTATAAAGGCCGACGACTCTCAGCACTCGGTACCACTGTCGTGGTTGTCGCTGTTTAGATCATCCTAGTCGCACACGACCGTTTGTCGTAACACCCCCCCAACACAGTCATACGTGCAGCATCCGATCGTGGTGTTGTGCATCGTGATTGCAGCCTTCACAACACAATGATCGAAGATCTCCCTGGAGGCATACAGGGTTGTTTGATCAATTGGGAGTTCGCAATCAATGTCTCTAATACTCACTGCGACAATAATACCCGTAGCATCCTCACCAGGGGCGGTACGGGCACAGTTCCATTCATGTCTCGCAAACTCCTTAGTCAATTGGTCCAAGCTGATCTCGCCCATTTGACTCAGCCCATCGTCAGTCCGACCTTCTCCAATCCGCCACAGTCTCGTAAGACATCGTCTACCAGTGCTCCTCCCCAACCGCTTGCAACAATAGTGCAAAACCATTCCAATGATCTTGAATCTGTTCTATGGATATTCCTCTGGGTTCTCCTCAATTATTCGGGCCCTCTCTGGATGGAGCGGAATCAAGCTGGGTTGATGATGGAAGGCTGGAATGACCCAAACACCACGCTGTGTGTCGGGTCCAAATATGTCCTTTACCACTCAGGGAAGGCAGCATTCCTTCGTCAAATCGACCCCTACTTCGCGGACCTTACCCAGCTCGCAGATGATTGGTTGGAACTGATGAGGTACAATGATGAGCATCCGGTAGCCTTCGATGCAGTGCTGGAGCTCCTGGACTCTTTTCTGTCTAATTACAAGACAGAGGAGTTCTCTCCAGAGCGGTATTTCTCATCACAAGAGTTGAAGATTCCTCTGGGGGAAAATACTGTGAGGCGCAAGAGAGTTATCCCAGAGTCCGAGGGGACTTATTTTACACAGAAGCAGGCGAAGGCTGTTGTTTAATACAATTCCCTCAAACTACTATCGCGATTCTAATCTCACATTACTCTAGCATGACTTTCTTGTAGAATAGTGTACTAGTAAATGTACTTCTAGTACTACGAACTTTTCTATGACTCATTTTCGCATCTTCAAGTTGTGCCAATGTGTTCACTGAGTTCAACTCTTTTTTTCTTCTATCACGTGACATGAGCAGTATACACTCACGGATTCTCACATTCAACTGACATTCATGATCGCGTGCTACTGGTACTACTAGTATGCATCAGGTTTACTCTGTTCTTTGGCAAAGGACGGATCTACGGCGAAGGAGATGTCGGATGGGATCGGATGGCACGACTGCTATTACATGTGCACCTGGAGGTGTGTCACTCAATTTGTCTACCTTGCACTGATTTATTACTTTTATATTGACTTGGAAGGGCAACCGTATGGTATCGGATGGCAGCACCTGCTGCGATATTACACTGGATACTTCAAAGTCTGCCGTAGAATCTGGACACAAAGACTCAAATATGAGTAAGTTCGGATGGTAAATTCACGCGTTCTAGCTTTTGTCTTATTCCCTGCAACGATGCCCAGCCCTAGGAAGTCCAAGACTAGTAAGAGAAAGGCTCAAGATCCTGACACTGGCCTTCCAACTGGACGATCCAAGAAAACTCCACGGGGTGCTTCAGATGAACTTGGTGGCACTCGACATTCTGAACATTCGAATGCAGGGACGGGCGGACGAAACTCACAGCTAGAAAAACTTGATGCAGTCCTTGAACAACCATCGCGTAAACGGTCCTCAAAAGGCTCAACGACCTTTGGTGCTGATGTTTCAAAGAACCCACAAGCTCCTGATTCTCGCAAAGGTAAAGGCCACAAGTCTAGAAAGGTAAGTCGTCACAATCAGACACTAATTGATGCTTAATTCCAGTTCTTAGGTCGCTGCTCCCCCACCATATGCTCCAGCAGATGTGAATCTTGTTGATGCATCTCAAGTAAGTCGTGTCCACCTTTATATTCATTTATTTTATCTACTAAGGCATCCAACACGCAACAGGATGTGCCCAAAATGACAATTGTACCGCCTGGTACCGAGCCTAACTTGCAGGCCCTGAATAACCCCTATGTGGCTGCCATGATTGGTACTGCAGCTGCACGCCCCCCCACTAACAGCTCAGTGCCATCGCTTATCCCACACGCACCCTTAGAGCCAAACTCGCAGGTCCTGAATAACCCCTACGTGGCTGCCATGATTGGTACTGCAGCTGCACGCCCCCCTACTAACAGCTCAGTGCCATCGCTTATCCCGAGTGCACCCTTAGAGCCAAGGTTTTTGGACGCTATCAAGTATTATTATCAGCCTGCCACTTCCCCTCAAATGCCAGAGCATTTTATAGACCCGGCACTGCGGATTCAACCATCATCACTTGGTGTAGGTGGGTGCTTGGAGCCAAGTGTTCCGAATGTCACCCAGTACAATATTCAGCCTATGTTTAAAGGCACTGCGCTCCCAAGGCTCCCAGAGGGTCCTACAGGCCCAGCGCTACAGCCTCAGAACCGACCTCCTCCAATAAGTGACAGATCAGATCTTGACGGAAGTGATGAGAATGATGAGAGTTCAATGGACAAATATAACAAAGAAGGGGTCAAAGATGCTGGTGAAGATGATATTGTCGGATGGGGAGCGGTTCGTGGACGCCACACAACACATCCAGGTTACGCTCTTCACATTTTATGTATGTCACTGATTCTTATTATATGTATAGGATTTTCGCAGGAACAACCACCTCAGCCACTTCAAAATCCACGTACTTTGACACCCGACTTTGACTTTCAGTACTCACACAACGAAGATGAAAATGGTGCAGCAGCTAGTCTCACCTCGGTGCAGTTGCAGCCACATGTTCAGAACTCACGTAAAGACGATGCAGCTGCTAATCTTGTGTTAACACAACCAAAGGTAGATGATGTACTCAAGAAACACCAGAAAAAGAATGGCCAGCGTCGTCTCCCTGACCCTGAGGCTCTTGAAGTACTACGCCAGCAAACTGAAACTGATGTTCAACAAGAAGCTCCGACATCGCGATCTGAAGCAAAACCCACTCAACTCGGGTGGTACGGAACTGGCTGGAAAGGCTTCCTGGAGGATGCGAAGGCAGAATGTCGCGCTGTCCATGCATTGGAAAACCCACTGCCATCTCTGACCCATGACTTAACACGTTCGATAATGGAAGTCCTCTTATCGGTCAAGCTTGCATGGGAGCAAGCTGGGAAGCAGGTAGAAACCGGTAAGTCTTCACATGTTCCTGAGTTCTGTGGTCTCAATTAGCGTAGGTGTGTGGCCTGCACAGAAATCCAACATGGCAAGGCTGGTAAGTATTTCTCCGTCATTACAAGCCTGCTCACACCATATAATCACAGCTCTATGACGATCTTGCGACTTGGCGGTCCGAATTGAAGAAGGTTGTGATTTCCCTTGCCCCGAGCATATTGGGTCTTGTTCCCCCTGCTGAGGTACCTGCCCTGGAACGGCCAGCATGGGTCTCACACGAAGCATCAAGGCAGCGCAAAGATTCTCTGTTCCTACGAGGTGGATTCGATGCCAATGTTTTTATTTTTATTTCCTTGTTTCACCCCTCACTGTGCTGATGTATGATTTGAACAGGGAAAGACCAATAATTTCGCAAGTCCTGCGCTTTGAGAAGCCGTTGTGTTATTTTATTATACTGGACCTTACAGAATTGCTCAGCGAAGGCCAGAAATATTTCGCACACAGCTGCCTTTGTCGTGCTTAGCTCTCGTCGCCACTGCGGTATTATTTACTCAAGTTAAATATCAAGGTTACTGACTCATTATTTGCAGTATGACTGTGGTCTCCTTGGCTTCAAAAAGAACGGTACTGGCAAGGTCTTTCCCAAGTTCACTGCAAAGGAGTACAAAACAGAATATGAGGAGATGCTGGAGATGATGGGCATCGTTTTGGATGATGCGTATCATGGCCCAAAGCTGGTAAAGCAGCTCCGGGAGTGGGCCGCATATGGCTGGTGAGTATTTTTATATTCATTTTCTATGACACTGATCGTATCTATCCAACGGCAGGTTGGAAGGCCTGAAGGTTGACTCCCGTGGCAGCTTGGAGATGAAGCGCACTCACTTGAAGGTGGTACTTGACTAGTTTTGTCATGTTTTTCTCGTCGTTGCTCGGATACTATTACTACTGCATGTTGGCCAGCTGGGCCGTGTTTGTTTACATTTTTGTCCGCACAATATGATCAGATTTATTTGGAGCTCCTTGTGACAGTGTGAGTGTGTACTACTGCTACTCTATGGGACTGGGAAGCACTGGGGGAAGGTAATTTACAAACATTCAGCAACTGCCAGTGTCCGAGTTGTGGACATGCAGGATGTCTGTGAGCAATTGTACAGTACTGTCCAAATCGCTTTTGGAAACCCGCTGTCTGTCACAAGGGGACCAGGTTGTAGGCCTAGCACGCTGTGTGGGCTTGTACAGCTCTGTACAGAGCATGTGAGTTTACTGATGTACACTACAAACTGCCGCTTTGGGCGAAACCGAGCTAACGAGAAAACTATTTAGTGCTCCTGGGAACCAGCCGGGTTGTATTTATCGTGGGTGTTTGTGTGATAAATAATAAATTCATAGAGTAAAGGCGTGAATTCGGAAGTCTATAAAAGAATTTTGCCCGATCTCCCACCAAGGTGGCAATAGGCTGTGCATGTATAACCACAGGTTGTACAAATGTCGCATGGTGAACATGTGAGGGAAATCAGAATGAGTCATATGGACGAGATCGGGCATGAGACATAGCACAGACATCTGTCAGAGATCCTACAGATATTTGAGCGTGCTATTTTTGTCTACACAATGCTAATCACAAACTTCCATGCCTGCAACAACCTGATCGGCGATGACTGCTCAAACATTCAAGCTTGCAAGTTATCTATCCCTGCAGCCATTTGATACTTCAAACGAAACATAATTGACATTTGAGACATATTATAACAAGTGGTGGCACAACAATGACTCTAAGGTATGTACTTGTATGTATATCTAACCTGCTTCAAAAAAACCTCTGGACCATTGTAGTGAGTTTAGTCAGTAGAAATGAGGGGATAAGGGTAGAAAAGGGCGGCATCCCTACAAAATGCATCCCAGATCTCCTTCAAGTCCTCTGTATCGCCCAAGTCTATCACCATAATTTCCTGGTCGACTGTGATGCTATGACCCAAAGTCTCTAGCCATCGTTCAATGAATGCGCCTTCCAACGGTATGCGGGGATCCCACATTGGCCAGGTGCCTCTTGGGAAGAAGGGATATGCGGCAATGAATGTCAACCAAAATGTGTCCCGTCCCCACATCCACTGAGACAATTCGGTATCGAGTTCTATGAGCCACCCCTCAATCTCTTTTGATAGCTTCGCCCAATCGTCTTGATTAGTGTGGTTGAACGTTGATGGAAGGGGGAGGAATGGGATGGGGATTTCATCGGGAGGGGGAATACATTCGATGATACCAGAAAACTCGAAGCACAATGTAAGTTTCATCAAGTCAGACGCAGCAAAATATGCTCACATTTGAGTCACTTGAATTTAGCATGCTTTCAGTATCGGACTGCCACTGATCCATCGATGATATAGCTTTTACAAAGGGCATAGTGAAGCACCCGTATTCTTCAGCGATTGACACTGATATCTCGACAGGCTGCGAATGAATGTAGCAAATTGTTGGAGGCAGTTAATAATACTCACTATATTTTGTTCTATCAGATGCTTCGGAAGGGTACCAGAAAATTTGATCGTGAAGAATAGCGGCTTGAATGTCGTGTCATCCATGTCCTGGCTTTGGACATTGGGATAGACAGTTGCAATGTTGGTGAGCACTCCAGGCATTATATTTCGCGCAAGCTTGACAAGAATTCAAAGAAGACATGGGACTTTGGACTTGGTGTTCTTTCATCATGTGTGAACCACGTGACTCGCAACCTCTTCCCACCTCTGACACACTGACCAAGACTTAAGACCCGAATCAGCCATGAAGCATGATATCATCGACGGCACAAGTGAGTTATATATCTTGTCTGTCTGATAATAATCTAACACTTGTTACAGTTCTCCAATTTTGCGATGATATGCAGAGTCGCATCATTTGCAATGTATGTCCCAAGAAGAACGGTCTGCACTGTACCATGGAACTCCGTTTTATCCAGAAGCATATCGTATCAGACAAGCACACACGCCACACCAAAAATTTCAAGAGTGACCGAGCATCAAAATTTCATCCTGTTTTTAAGGCAAACTTGCATCGGGCCAGGAATAATCCTAAACAACGCAGTATGGACCCGGATGTGGAAGCTGAATCATTCGGACTTGATCATATGGATGCTGATAGTGGTCTGATGGAGATAGACTCGTACAATGCATGTGAGGCTGACTTGGAGATCCTGCTGTCTGAGCACTTGAACAATGCCGTTGGAAGTTGGGTATATGAGTTCGATGAACACTTTACTGATCTATTTGCCGAACTGCAAGAGAATCTTGCCTCCAGTGAAATCTCATTCTCGACACCACTTGCCCCCATCAACAAGGAGAATGAGTTATGTGATTATGACGTCCCTGACTTTGGGATTGATATTTTCGGTGAGTGAATTCGAGTTGTTTCTTTTGTGCTGTTTTGTATTTAAATGTGTTTGCAGACTATGAACCTCCAGCGAAAAAATACGCTCTCAAAGACATCTCTCCTGATAATCCAACCAACCCTTGGCCATCACAAGCTGTGAGTACACTTGTTGTTAGTTGTGCAATGAAACATTTATACTCTTCTCAAGGATTTTATGACATCGCTTTTATTCAGCTCTCCACGCCTTCCCTTCTCAGATGCCCAGAAGAAAGCGGTACTTAATTGGGCAAAACAGCTTGGCACCAAAATGTGCCCTCACTCGATGCGACCAAAAAGTGTCAACTGTTCATTGAAGATCTTGTTGGTCGACCAACCGAGAAGGTTACTGCCCGGTCAGGGAATATATTCTACATTAATAATATTGCGAACACAATTGCAAAGGTCCATCTTCTGCTACCTCGTATCAGGGTGTTGCATTCATATCATTCCAAGACTATGCAAACCCACTTACATGTTTCGCAATGCAAGATTATCCTGAGGATTGTGGGAAAGGGATGTCGCAAGTTTTCAACAGCACAAAGATGTTGCTCGACCTTCCATCTCCTCCTGCAGCACGAGTGGATGGGATGATATATTTTGTCAATGAGCTATTACAGGAGTCTTCAGGAGCCTACTTCATCCCAGAACAGTTTTTCCTTGGCTCTCCGGTTGTTGAGGGTGGTGTTGAAGGTCCCAATAATAAAATCCTCTATGCGCTCGGTCGCACTGCTCAACAGACTGATGTGAGTGACCTTTATCATGTTGTGTACTATTCTAAAGCATTCAATAGGCAGGATTTATTATCAATGATGAACAAGAAATTATCCCGACTTCAACATTTGCACGGTCATATGAAGATATTTCATCAACGAATGAGCTCGACTGTGGACTCACTGGTACGTTAGATCTAGGTCGTCTTATTTGACAGATGTGAACTTAAGTGTGTAACAGCGTCGTCTGCTAAATACAGGTCACTCGAGCCTAATCCCTTGTGTGAAAAGGCGCAAGGCCGAATGGTTTATACAGTCCCTCTCATAATTTTCATGGACGATGTCTCGGGCAACATTTT